TGTGAATGTTATTACATGTTAAGCAGAGTTGTGATCTTTCTTGATCTGTGTCCTGTTACTGTGTGATTAAGTGATAATTAAGCATTAGTAATGAACAACTGCTGGTAACAAGGAGCATCACTAAAGGAAAGAGGAACAAGAAGAACCAAAAAAGAGAAGAGACAAGTATAAATGTAACTGGACAGCTGATTCGGTGAACAACATAAAAAACAAAAAAAATGTAAAACAGTACACTGCTCTTTTCTAAAAAAAAAAGAAAAAAAAAGAAAAGGGTAGTACTTTGATGAGCCTTGCTCATTTTCAAACCTAAAAACATGTTCTGTCTGATCGGGGCCTTACATACGATACACGTCCTGGAGTTTCAAGGGACACAACAATATTAAGGATTTAAAGAGCACTAGTCTGTCCTGCCACAGCACCACAAACAACAAGGTCACTGTCAATAGATTTATCTGTAACTCATAACATAAGATATTGAAATGAACAACAAGAATAATTGGCTTCAGGAGGGGGCAAGACCAAAATATACTTCTATAAGTCAAAGTGACATCAAAAACCACAATTCCTTTACTCTAAGCGTCACGAATCCTGTCCATGAACTTCCGTCCGCTTGCCACCAGAGGTCGCCCTCCCATTATATTGACTCTCATACCACACAGACTGTTACAAATCACCCTGGACTACATTTCCCATGCTCCATTGCACTAATCACAAGCTCACCTGAAACCAATCACACACAGCTGCTACTAACAACACACACTATATAAATCAGTCTCACACCACCCTTCAACACCGAGTACTGTTTAGTATTCATGCTGTAATGAGTAGCTACTTTACGGAGCCAGTTCCCGGTCCTAGTTTGAGTTTCTAGTTCTGAGTCAAAGTCTAGTTTAATCCTGTTTATTGCCTTAGTCATTTGTGTCTTGAGCCTAGCCTGTATATCTCGTTTCTGTATGATCTCTGCCTGCCCTGAAGTATATCGCCTGTCTTGGATTATCCCTCTCGTCTCGCCCTGTTCGGATACTGTTTATTCCTCGCCTGGACCATCGCCTGTGTTTCGGATTACTCTTCAGTCTTACCCTCTATATACCTGTTTGCCATTGTCAGACCCTTGCCTGTTTTGACTATGTTTTAGAATAAAGCTTTACACATGGATCCGCACATTTCTCGTCTCAGTTGCCCCGTAACACTAAGACTATAAATGCCATAATCAGCTGCTGGGGCTGTGCGATTAATCAAAATCGAAATTTGAGACGTTGCGATTTCCTAATGGCAAAGCCTGCGATATGGACACGATATTACTCTGTTCCAGAGCATATGCATGACTGCCAGCCTTGAGATGCAGTCTTACTAACCAATAGAGTGAGCGCACCTCCGTTCTCCCCAATCAGCACTGCTCTAGCCAACTGCGTAAACACCCACCATAAAAAAAACACAGAAAGCGGGAGAGAGACAGAGTGGGATTATGGCGTCTACTGGGTCAGATCGATAGTTAGGCAAATTAAAACTGAAGAAAACCGTCTGCAATTTAAGCTTTGAAATGACAGACAACAAACAAAAATGATAATCTGCAAGAGCTGCGTCACAGCATCAAAAGCTCCCGTATCGGTTCTGTTTTCAGTACTGGAGAATAAAAGACACATTCTTAGATGTTTTTGTTAGTACGTGAACGTTATCTTACACATTTATCTCCCCAACAGATTAATTTGAAATAAGTTTATGATGCATGTTGGCTATTCCCACTTCAGAAGAGCGCACACACAGCCTGTGTCTGTGAATGCTTCTCATACTCGCTCCTCTCTGACGAGCCGTTCATGCTTGCTGCACTCACGCAGCCTGTCTTGTAATGCTGGTTTATACTCGCACCCGGCTCCGCAAGTCTTCACGAGCGCATCTGGCATTATGGATAAGGCTTGACGCACGCGCACAACCTGTTTCGACTCACGCCGAATAAACATTTTCTGTGAAATTCAGTAATTAAGTTAATTCTGTAAAAGTAGTTATACCATTTATAATCTTGCCTGCTGAAAAAAAACAATAGAACCACTCCCAAAACACAATAACAAATGTAATGGATTTCAGGGTTATAATGGGAATTGTGTTGGTTTTAATGTAAACTATAATGGAGTCTATTTGATGGATTCTATTGGTGGGATGTAATCTGGCAGATGGGAACCAATAGAACAACAGTAATTCCTATTGGAATAATGCCCAAAACAAAAAGGAATTTTGTAATGGTTTAATGGAAACTATAAGAATTTCTGTGATGGTTTCTATTGTTCTTTTCAGCAGGGTAATGATACCCATACTGTGCTGCACATTATTGACAATATTGAGCTGAAGCTTGGCTTAGCAAATTTAAAATCGCAAATCAAATCGCAATATCTGTCAGAAAAATCGCAATTTGATATTTTCCCCCAAATCGCACAGCCCTACTCCACATGCTGTTTCTCTGTCTCTGTAATTCACTCTGATTACAGCAGTTTAATTGACTGAATGCTGTCTGTCACTGCACCGGAAAAGAACATTTCACAACTCTTCTGTCAAATCAGCTCAGATTCACAGATGTTGATCAGATATCATACTATTTTGAGTTTCTGTTGAATCTAATCTCCTTCTTTGCATCAACTCAGATTTTTTGTTAAAATGATCTTTAAATTTAAATGTTAGGCTACTTAATTTAGGTTAAACAACAAATCAGTTTTACAGTGTGATTGTGTCTTTAATCATTTCTGGACAATATTTTAATTTAATGCAACATCCACAATAATACATTTTAAGTTAACATTTAAATTTGGAAAATTATGTCCTCCCGTTCTGTTTTCAGTGGAGGAAAACAATGAGGGCTAAATGCAGATGAAACTTGACAGTGGATGCTCCCGCATCACATTAATGTATAAACTGCATTTATGACAAAGACCTGCACAGGTGCAGATATCATCATAACAATCTATCAATAAATGCGCACACATTGTCCCTAGCATCTGATGCTAGTGCTGCGGACTGAAGAGCACGCTGAATAAATATATATATATATATATATATATATATTTTTTTTTTACCTTTATTTAACCAGAAAAGACTCTCTGAGATTAAACATCTCTTTCACAGGAGTGTCCTGGCCAAAATGGGCAGCAATACAATCCGTTTCATCACAGATTTACACAACACAAACAAACTAAAAACACTTAAAACAATTACATGTCACTGAGTCATCTTCCATTTGCAAAATAACGGTTTTAAAATGATCCAAAGACAGCTAATTTTGTAGTTTCAATTTCGATTGAAGAAGATTCCAGTCAGACGGAGCTGCATACATAAAAGCCTTCTTACCTAGTTCAGATCGAACAAAAGGAACAGAGACAGTATAACAATTTTGCGAACTAAGGAAATATTTCTCAATTTTCTGTTGTATAAGACATCAAAGATATTAAGGCAACATCCCCAAGGTGGCTTTATAAATAATTAAATACCAGTGCATTTTTCTCCTAATAGACAAAGAAGGCCAAGCTACTCTGTTGTACAAGGTAGAATGATGAGTTGAGGGTTTACAATCTGATATAAATCTCAGAACACCATGATAAACAGCATCTAAAGGAGAAAGAAGATATGATGGTGCAATCTGATACACTACGTCAGATAAAAATGTAGCAGAAACTAATTTCTTTCTTGCATTAAATGAAAAACAAAACTTGTTCCTAAAATAAAACCCAAGTTTAATTTTCATATTTTTCTTCAGTTGAGTAATATGAGAGCCAAAAGATAGGACATCGTCAACAATGATGCCAAGATATAACAGAGCTGTTTGAAAATGTGAAAACACTGATCATTTTTCAAAAATGTGAATAATGCTGACCCGGGGAGGAGCTGAGCAGAAATGATGGCTGACGAGTGCTTGAAGGAGACTAAAGCCCCCTAAAAAGGACCTAGAGACACCCCTGGAGCAGAGTCAGATAATATTCACAGCCTTTGGTGATTTTCTGATTCACTTTCATAACCTCCTGAGCTTTATGACATGCACATGTTATTGGTGTTTTGTGCTGAGATTAAATGATTAGAGATGACTGTGTGTGCTCTCATGTTGGGTTAGACCAGAAATAAAGAGCCAGAGATGCCACTGGTTTGTTTATGTATGTCTTCTACCAACAAAACCAGTCACAAATGAACCCAAAGCATGTTCACATTTCCAAACAGCTCTGGTTTCCTTGACAAAAATGCCGTCTCAGTGAACAAGGCCTCAGAGTGTATTTCTCTCTCTAGTGAGAGTGAAGCTGGAGCTGGAAGCCCTGGAGTGGAAACATTACAGAGATCAGACTCAAATATGTGTGAGCTTTTATACATGCATAGTTCAGCGAATTTAACGTTTTACAGATGAGAAGCTTTTGGAAAATGCTAATGTGGACGGAGAGCGTTTTAAAATAAATGCCATTTTCAAATGCATCCAGACTAATGTAGACAGAGCCTGAGTGAGAGGAAAAACAGATGCTTTCAAAAAACAAACCCTGCTCCAAATGCAGAAGTGAACCAACATGTATCAGAAAACTGAAGTGGAAACTGCAAACACTGCATTATTGAGCAACATTAGTATATTCCTCTGTTTTATTTTAAATCCATGTTTCTGTACATGTGGCAGCTCTAAAATTAGTCCCGTAACCATGATGAAGAAGGGTCCCATCACATTCCTCATTTCTCCTCATTAGTTAGTTTCAGTCACTCCCACAACAGCATCACTGACAGTGACTGTGTTTA